TTTTGCATTAAGCTCTCAACGGCAAGCCTCAGTGCAACAAAAATGTTGCTCCTTTATGATTGAAAAGTCACAAGTTTAAGTGGTGGAAACATATGCTTTAAAAAGTAAGAGTAAAACTATATACGATAAACTTTTTCTCGATTCTTGCAAAACAGAGAGCTTTATTAACTTAGAATCATCTTACATTAAGTTTCCATAAATTAGAGTTGTTTAGAGTGTCGTTTTTCAAAAAGAAATAAAAAATAGTGTGTTAAGCCGAAATAAAACGAAACAGTACTACTTTTGAGCTGGGCTTTGTCTCTCTCAGCAGACTCATTGAGTGGGAGGGGCACACAGCTCACACAAGGGGCAGTGCAGTCCTCTTCATCTCCCCTTTTCTTTTTCCCTCTAATTGATTCATTCATTCATTTTCTTTCCCCTTCCTTTCTCCCCACCTTCCATTTCCTTTATTCAAACCCAAAATTTTTCTTTTCTCATCTCCAAAACCAAACTTTGAACTTTCCCTTTTGCGCAGTTGTCCGGTAAGAAAACCGGAAGCGCTTTTTCCTGCTTAAATTCCCACCAAATTCTCAAAATTCTCTGACTTTTTGTGCTTTTTTTGCACCAACATTTCGCCTGAGTGAGTGATAATCTCAGAAGAAATTTCTAATGCCTGGATTGGATCTGAAGCTTTTTACTTCAAGGAAGAAGCTTTACCCTCTGCTACTCAGCTCAGGCAGCTCCTCAGGTCTCACTGCAAACTGCAGGTAAAAAAGTGCTTATAGATCTGAACTTGCTATGGCTGCCATTGTGAAAAGCGCTTTTTTCTGCTCTCTCCTTGCATGAATGCCTTACTGCTATTTTTCCACTGAATTTCTGCTCAGCCCATTAATTTCTTTTTTCAGTTTCATCCATTTTTACCATAATTAAAATGTTGAATTTAGTCAATGTGGTTGCTTTGGACTAACCCCACTTTTCTTGTGACTGTTGGATTAGGTTTTAATTTGGTCAAATAATTTCTTTTGTTTTTCTTCATTTGGTGGTTGAACCACTCTGAGTTATCAATTATCCATAATTATGCTAATTTAGTCATGTTTTGTAATGCAATCAGTTTATAGTAGACAGCAATGCTTATAAAGGTTTTTAATTCTTACCTTTCTTACCCACTTGTTTACAATGTATGTAACTTAGTTTCCAACAGATATGTACCCAATTCTGATAAACCATTTTTCTACCTTATTTATGGGACAAGGAAGCAGATTGTTTCTTAATTTGTTCTGCTGAATTTAAATGCAGTCTAGCATTGAGGCAAAGTGAAATGAGCTATATTATTACTACTTTTCGGTGTTTCATGTCGTCCTTGCAAATTGTTTGTTGTTTTGCCTTCTTAGTGTATGAAATGCTTTGCATTATTGATCGCTAATCTTGATATGTTCGTTTTCGTGCTGACCAGGAGATTGTGAGCCCTGCAGAGGTTGCATTTTGATTTCTTTTCTAGTCACTTTCGTAGAACTTTGGTTGAAACAGCTCCCCATGAAGTCCTGTCCCTTTTCAGTTATCCCTTTCCTTTTTGGCGTTGCCATTCTTCTTCCTGTGGTTTGCTCTGACCTGACTTCCGATAAGCAAGCTCTTCTTGACTTTGCTGATGCTGTTCCCCATCGCCGCAACTTTAGTTGGAACCCTGCTACCCCAGTGTGCACATCCTGGGTTGGCGTCAATTGCACTCCAAATGGCACCCGGGTTACTTCCCTCCGACTTCCTGGAGTTGGACTTGTGGGCTCTGTCCCACCAAACACCCTTGGTAAGCTAGATGCCCTCCGGATTCTTAGCCTACGGTCCAATCTCCTCCGTGGTGACCTTCCTTCCGATATTACCTCCCTTCCATCACTTCAGTACTTATACCTCCAACGTAACAATTTTTCTGGTCACATTCCTACCTCCTTTTCACCTCAACTCAATGTATTGGATCTATCATTTAATTCCTTCACAGGAAACATACCACAAACAGTACGTAATTTAACACAACTCACAGGATTGAGCCTCCAGAACAACACCCTTTCTGGACCTATACCTGATCTTAAGCTACCTAAGCTCAAGCGTCTAAATTTAAGTTATAACCATCTTAATGGCTCTATTCCACCATCCCTTCAACATTTTCCCAATTCATCCTTTGTGGGAAATTCACTTTTGTGTGGAGGGCCGCTTAAAGCTTGCTCCATTGTCCTTCCTCCGCCACCTCCTACTTCCAATCCACCACCACCAGTATCTCCTCAGAAAAAAAGCTCCAAGAAAAAGCTGAAGTTGGGATACATCATTGCTATTGCAGCTGGAGGGGCTGTTCTGCTGTTGCTGTTAGGCCTAATTATAGTTCTCTGCTGTTTAAAGAAGAAAGACAACGGAGGAACAAGTGTATTGAAAGGGAAGTCTTCTACCGGCGGAAGGAGTGAGAAGCCCAAAGAGGAGTTTGGGAGTGGGGTGCAAGAACCCGAGAAGAACAAACTAGTTTTCTTTGAAGGTTGTTCTTACAATTTTGATCTTGACGATTTGTTGAGGGCTTCAGCTGAAGTGTTAGGAAAGGGAAGTTATGGTACTGCGTATAAGGCCGTCTTAGAGGAGGCAACAACAGTGGTAGTTAAAAGGTTGAAGGAAGTTGTTGTTGGGAAGAGGGATTTTGAACAGCAAATGGAGATTGTGGGAAGAGTTGGACAGCACGCAAATGTTGTTCCACTCCGTGCTTATTATTACTCAAAGGACGAGAAGCTTCTAGTTTATGATTATATCTCAAATGGGAGCTTATCTGCGCTTTTGCATGGTATGCATGTCACTGCTCTCTATTTCTTTCTTTTATATCTCTTTCATAAAAATAAACACACTTTGCCGTACTATCTGTCAGTGAGAACTTTGTGTACATATCTAAAGAGAAAATGCAGGTAATTACCATGAAGAGTGTATAGTTTCTGTCGATACCCTTAGAAAAACATAATTTTAAATTAAGATAGAGTTGTCCTGAAATTTATCATTTTGAAGTCTATTAGCTCTTTGTCAACGTAGTTTAGTAGCATATTTGATGATGTTATGTTGGCATTTCAGAGTTATAATTACATACTTTGCAACTCGGGTGCATTTAATCTGCTAGCATCTAACGAGTATATGAATTTTGGTTTGACCTCCATATGCCTAATGATATTCTAGTCTTCATTGGACGAGGCATTGTGATAGCCCACTCTCAACCAGATTGTTACTGACACTGAAAGTGACATTATTTACAAGCGATGCATATAACTTTTTCTAACTATTTCTAATTCTGTTTTGTTTGATGGTAAAGCATGCTAATCTGTTATGCATAATAAAAGATCAGGTTACCGTCCTACTTTCTGTCTCTATAACCAATACACAAGATTACAAACTCCCGAATTCAGCAACTTCTTTTCAGTTAACTGAAGTATGCAAAGCAGCTTGCTACCTTCAATTTTCCTTTCTGTATTGACAATCACTTTTGTTTCAAAAGTCTGTACATGGATCTATTTGGGACAGCCTATTTAGATCACCTTAATAGAGAATTCAGCTGTCTGTTGAAGCACTGTCTGGTGCACCACACTCAATTTTTATTGTATCTGATGGCAGGAAACCGGGGAAGTGAAAGACCTTCATTAGACTGGGAATCGAGGGTAAAGATTTCCCTTGGCACTGCAAGGGGAATTGCTCATATTCATTCTGTGGGTGGTCCGAAATTCACTCATGGAAATATCAAGTCCACAAATGTCCTTCTCAGTCAAGACCTCGATGGGTGCATCTCCGATGTTGGCCTGACTCCTCTCATGAATGTTCCTGCCACTCCTCGGAGTGCAGGCTATCGCGCTCCAGAAGTGATTGAAACCCGCAAGCACTCTCATAAATCAGATGTGTACAGCTTTGGCGTCGTCCTCCTTGAGATGCTGACTGGAAAAGCTCCACTCCAGTCGCCCGGGCGTGATGATATGGTTGATCTTCCTCGGTGGGTCCAGTCCGTGGTCAGGGAGGAGTGGACCGCAGAGGTATTTGACGTTGAACTGATGAGGTACCAAAACATTGAAGAAGAAATGGTTCAAATGTTGCAAATTGCAATGGCGTGCGTGGCAAAGGTGCCGGATATGCGGCCCACCATGGAAGAAGTTGTTAGAATGATTGATGAAATCCGGCAATCCGACTCAGAGAACCGGCAATCTTCCGAAAGAGAATAAATCAAAGGACTCAACTGTGCAGACTCCTTGACCACTCAAACTTGCTGTTTTCATTTATCTGGTTCTGAGAAATTCATGATTGAACCTTACATTTTCTGTACATGCCTCCTAAGGTTTTCCCAAGCATTATTCAATTAGTGCATGGCTATGTAGAGTGGCAATTTATCAGTCCAATTGTGATTTTTTTACGCAGTTTAGGTGGGGTTTTATCTTTTTTTTCTTTTCTCGATTTGTTGAACGATCTTCGATAATTCTATAGTTTTTGTCTGATTTTTGTTTCAGGAAAGTGAATTCTGCATACCAATGTTTATTTCTAATCTTTGGAATGAATAAATAAAATAAAATAAAATCGAGTGACATAAATAAACATGAACGTGCAGAAATCATTTCTCGTATTTTATTTCCTATTCCCATAATCACATTTTAATCACTACATAATTGACGTTGAAATTACACATCATCACATTAAGAGAGAATGTGGTTAGAAATGTTGGTCACTTGGTCTAAAGCTACTCTCACGGAGACGCACTTTTTAGGCCCTTGGAAATAGGAGGCTATATATATGTATTTAGGGGTCGCATCTCCGTTGTAGGTCAATTTCTCTCCGAGCCTGTCGATCCCAGTTTCCTCTGCATGCTAAATCTTATTTTCCGTATATAGATTGTGGTCCTCCTCAGTTTCAGCTAAGAAAACTACCATGTTCCTCTAAACACATGAAACATCCTTCAAAAATTCGTCACCTTTGTCGTCGATTGCTTTCCTCCGTGATCCGGCTAGGAGGTGCTAGCTAGAGTTCCAACAATGGTACATGGTCCATCCTTGCCTCCACCTCCTGGCCGCAACCAATCAAAGGCCAGCAGTGCGCGGCACGTTGCCATCTCTGAAGCTGCCTCAGCTCCCAGCAAGGTCCGCGATCCGGCCTATATGGTTCCTGACCTTGACCATGAGCGCCCCAAGCGTCGTGCAGGCTACGCTTGCTGCGCATGGTGCTGCTTGGTCTTCTTCGCCATTGTGATTCTCGCTCTAATTATTGCTTTCATTGCCATGGCCATCTTCCATTCGTACCTGCCAGAAATCTACATCCGAAGATTCAACGCCACCAGCCTCAACTTTACTAAAGACCACAATAAACTTGTCTTGAGGGGAAATGTACATTTTCTTGTGGAGTTCTTTAACAAGAATGATAAAACTGACCTCAAGTATGGTGCCTTCAAGATCAAGGTAGCGTCCGCGCATGTCCCGCTAGGTATCACCGGGTTTCCTGAGTTTGCTCAGGGCCAGAAGAACACGAAGTCGTTGAATGGAACCATTAAGGTTAATAAATCCGGGATTACCAAAGACGATGTAGATCAACTCAAAACCGACATAAACAATAGGGAGATGACACTGAACTTGGCCATGACCGGAAGCGTTAGCTTCCCCATTGCTGGAATTTTCTTTAACGGCATTCCCATCATTTCAAACTGCGATGCCAAGCAAAGGGAAGTTGATTTCGGAAACAAGGCTAAATGCGATTACAAGATTATCCCCATATGATAAAATCCGCGACGATCTCCATCCGCGCTCTCTATGTTTCGGATAATGCTTTAGATCCCGACTTTTTTCTCGACTCTCTGACATGATCGCAGGATTTTACCTTAAGACGAGGCGAAAGAGATTTTCAATGGGGTGCAGGACAAATAGCTGCCAGTAGTGTTAGATGAAGGAGAAATGGTTTGAGCCATGATATCATATGTCGATTGGGTATGTAAGATTTCATTGTTTCTTGTGTATCTGGTGTGATGTTCAATTTTTTGCGTTCTTTTCATGGTGCGTGGATCTTTCGTTAGTGTTGAGAAACTTGTTTACAATCAATAAACTTTTGCTCATTCTTTTTGTTTTGATTCTTTCCTCGCCTTATGAGTTATGGCCTAAATACGCAGACAAATTGCATGTTAACTAATCGATGGTTGGCACTGCCGCTACGTAGTGAAATCTCTTTCTTACGTTGAAAAAAGTCCCAAGTTTGAATTTTTTCTTGGAACAACGGAAATGTTGCTCTTTTGTAACCAAAAGGTCACGGGTTCAAGTCGTGAAAACAGCTTATTTGCAAAGTAAAGATAAGATTACGTACATTAGGTGTTCATTTTTTGACCCATGCAAAGTAGAGAGTCTTGTTGGCGCCCTTTTACTCTTGTTTCTAAGGATAAAACTTGGATGTACTCAAATTGAATTTGTCCAAACCCAAAACAAGTTTAATTCATCTTCATTAAGTAATGTATCAGAAAATGTGATATAAAAAATATCAGAAATGCACAACACGAGAGATGTGTAAGAAGGATTAAAAATTCAACAAAACAAAATTCAAATTTTAAAATAACCATTACAACATTTAGTGCGGGCAATGCCGCCAAAGTAATTTCGCGTCCATGTCTCGAGTGTGAAAATACTTGAATTCCACTCTAAGGCATTCGACGGATCTCGATCCCGAATCCCATCCGTGCTAAAAATGGAGAGGAAAGAAGAGTCCAACCAACCCTGTAGAGTCAAGTTGACTCACTCAATCATGATGCCTATGATGGGTCCATACAAAGAAATGTAATGAACAACACAGAAAGGGACCAGATTGCAAATTAGCAGAGGGTGTGGTGGCGAAATGGTTAAAGTACATGTGTGAGGGGTGTATTTTGTAATTAGCTATAAGTGGGGGGGTTGGGGGGGGCATGGAGTAAAGGAGGAGGACGTGGATCGTAAGTCAAGTTGGAATATAAGGATAGAAAATTCTAGAAACAAGTCTTTTTTCTTTCTTATCCTTTTCTCTCTTTATATATATTATATGTATATATAAAATACATAATATTTTCCCCAATTTTTTACCTTCTCAGCTCGTTCAATCTCGGATTTTGTCAAATCCCAATCGCGCAATCTCCTGGTATTTTTACCCTTTTCATCCATGTCTCAATTTTTCTTGAATTGTTGTTTCTGCCTTTTGTTTTGTACGATTTTAAGGTGTCCGCCTTGATCTGTGTATGTGGGAAATTAGGGTTTGGATTTTGGGTGTTGATTTGTGTTTGTTTGGCTGGCGATCTGGTTTTGATTAGGGTTTTTTTTTATTTTTTTATTTTTCTGGGTTTTCATGTTGTGTTTGTGTGATTGCAGTGTGTTTGTAGGTGTTGTCATGGCATCTAAACGCATCTTGAAGGAGCTCAAGGATTTGCAGAAGGACCCGCCTACCTCATGCAGTGCTGGTATTTGCTCCTGTTTCCTTCAACAAATACCTTATCTTTTTGTTAAATTTGGATGCCATATTTAAAATTGTTTTAGAATTATAGATGGTAAGTTCTAATTGCAGGGGATTAGCGGTATTTTTTCAATTGAATTGAACTCTTTGAAGGTCAGATTTTAGCAAAAAATTGGCAGGAAAAAAGGGGTAGTTTGATCTAGGTCCTAAAATTTGAGCTGTTAGGATTTAGTTCAGTTTCTTATTTTTTTCTACTTTAATTAAATTTCTTGATTTATGCATGTTTCTGAATTTTTTTAATTTGAATATTAAACATGAATATCTAACCATTTTCTTAAAAATAGTTATATGCATGCCATCATATATGATACCTACACCATTGGGTTGAATAAATTACGGTTAACCTATAATGGAGGTAGAACATACGAAAATAAATAAAACTTAATACACCTATCATCCATGAAAACAACATTAATAACACACAATTAAATTATTATGGAAGTAGAATAAAAAATTGAGATACGAATTGAGAGTAGGATTGAGAGTGGGAAGAAGGAGAAACAACGTTTTATTCTTATATTCAATCCTAAAATTAAGTAAAAGATCCTATAAATAAGGAATAACATTGATCACAATTTAATAAAAAATAAATAAAAATAAGCTGATGTGGACAATCAGTGAGTGGACCTAACCCAACAAAGTGGACTAAATTCTATAATGACTTACAAAAGTGAACTTATATCAAGTTTACTGAAAAAAAACACTGAAATTTAACCCTTTGCTTTATCAGTTATGAAATAAAGATGTAGGAAATTTGTGGATTGTCCAATTGGGAATGAAACCATCATCCTTTAATGGTTTAGTTGATGTAAAAAAGTGGTGGTAGGATATTTGCATTGTAGCAAGTTTTACATCCGTCTCGTATGCTGACTCATGCATCTTATCTTTCTGAGGTATATGCATATATTTTGATCACTTTACTGAACTTGATCTACATTCTTCTTTTGGGGTTCTCTTTCGTGGATTATAGGTCCTGTGGCCGAGGACATGTTCCATTGGCAGGCGACAATTATGGGACCTGCTGATAGCCCATACACAGGTGGTGTTTTTCTAGTTTCAATTCATTTCCCTCCAGATTATCCATTCAAGCCTCCGAAGGTAAAAGAAAATTGAAAAACCGAATCCTTATGTTTCCATACATCTGTAGTTGCCATATTCCTTCATACGATATCATAAATGATTTATCCTCCATACAATGTCATAAATGAAACATGAGCTTTTGTGAGTTGTATAATGGGTGTAATGGATAACTGCAACAGTGTTTTATTGTTTATTCATACATGCAGGTGATTTTGTTAAAATATTCTCTCTTCAATTGCTGTGAATGTAACTTGATGTGTATTATCTCTGGAATTGTATTTTATCTTCCAAACCACTATAAGTTGCAGATGCGTTGGACGTGAGTCATATTTAAGTCGATTGCATTCATGTTGTACCAGGTCATATTGTAATTACATCCAACTTTCTTAGGAAGAAAATAGTTTCTTCTCCGTATGTGTGTGTGAGATAGTGCATGTTTAAGTAGTGTTGGTGGTCACTGGTAACACATTTAGCTTTTATGGGTGTTAGTGAGAGTGTTATATGATACTAAGTGGAATCTGACTTGGATATTTACCAGCTGATTTACTCCAGTCGTTAGGTTGTTTATTCACCAACAATTTGCCACTGGTGTTTTAATCATTAAGCAATTAATTTGTTCATTTTATTGAAAGCACAAACAAAAACTGTAACAAGAATAATAATGAACATCCATAAAAAGATTTGGTTTCTGTATATCACTTGTGGCTGTTTGTATTGAATCTATGGACAAAGTACTTCTCTGTAATCGATATCTATCTTATAATGCTCGTATTCAGAGTTATTCCAGATATTCGGGGAGATGTGTTTCTGATTTCAGTAAAGTTGTGTTTCCGGTGTTCCCACAGTTTTCCATAGATGTAGATGTTTATCTTAGAATGCTTTTAAAACTGTTACAACAAAGAGCTGATTATTGTGAGATGATATTATTGATACCAGGTGCCCTTTTTAATGTTTTGGCTTCTAAATTGTCTTTGGAAGAATTTTAGCGGCTAACTCAAGTTGTGTGTGTATTCTAATGCTTTTCTCATCTTGTTATTGTTTTTCTCATCTTGTTATTGTTTCATCGTTAATTGAGTACATCTCTTGGTAGTCTAGAATGTAGATTCTAACTCAAGTTACATTTCAGGTTGCGTTTAGGACCAAGGTCTTTCACCCAAACATTAATAGCAATGGAAGCATATGTCTTGATATTCTCAAAGAACAATGGAGCCCGGCACTAACCATTTCCAAGGCTTGTGTTTTCTATCCCTCTTATCAGAATTCTTCATGTGTGTGGGGACTACAAGAGTTGTGGCTTCTGTCCCCTTATCAGATTAAAAGGAGATGTCCTGTGGCTCCATCCTAATACTCCTACTTCTATTCCAAGTCATGTTGTATCATGTGACTTGCAACTGGTGATGTGAGATGCATGCATCATGTGCGTTTCCATCCTAATCCTGCTTTTCACTCCCATGTTCTGTTGTATTACTCGAGATGGGACGAGTGATAAGGCGCAAGCATGTGGGGGTGGCCAAAAAAGGATGAGATGCCATCATTTTATGGGATGGAGTTAAAAAATATGGAGGAAGTAACATGGTATGCTCGACATTGGATGAGATGTCATCATTTTGTGCGATGGGAGTTACGATGGCTTCGTTTTAATCTGATAACGGCACTAACTCCAGTTCAATAACTTATTTATTTGATATATAGGTTATTAATGTCTGTTAAATGAACTTGTGTTTCAGGTGTTACTGTCCATATGCTCTCTGTTGACGGACCCCAACCCAGACGACCCACTTGTCCCTGAAATTGCGCACATGTACAAGACGGACAGGGCAAAGTATGAAGCCACTGCTCGCAGTTGGGCGCAGAAGTACGCGATGGGGTAAGAAAGATGTTTCCGGCATTTGTTAAAAGGCTTGCAAATGCATGAAATCCATCTCGGTTCTAGTAAAAACGTTGGAAATATTAAAAATTTATCTATTTTGTGCGTCTTAAAGTTGATCAAGGAACAACGTTCTCAGTTTGTGAATATTCATTTGAAGGCATTTGAGATGGAAGAAAAAAACAACTGTAACGTATCGTTTCTAAGATATTTAGTCAATGGTTGGTTTGTTGAAGAAATAATGCTTGTTAAGAGCACTAGTGCTTGGATTGCCTGGTTAAACATATCCTTTTACATATTATGTTTCAT